AAACCAGATCTTCAGGTCTGAAAAAAAACCCTTAATTTCCAGGCAAGCATTGATGCATATACAGAAGCAAACCACAAGGAGTGCAACTGAACACATAAATTTGCGTGTGCTGTAATACCTGGGTAATGCAAGTATTATTCTTCCAAAGGCAATAAACAAAAAAGTCAGTATTAAACTTGGTGACATCTGTGAAGAATCTAGAAACTTTATGAGGATATTCTAAGGGAAAAAGCTAACGGGCATCAGTGTTCTGGCACATAAGACATACTCTTCATGCACAGAGTGGTGCAATTCTTTTTGGCTTCTGCATTTTCCCTTACAAAGGGAAACCCTTTTTTGACCCTTACAGTAGACCAAATCTACATCAACAAAAATCTTACTTCTGACTTAGCATACTGAATCACTGATAAGATTGATTCAGTTGTAACTAGTCAGATCAAGAATGAGAGAAAACATGCAACAGTATCCGAATTCTGCCCATAGTTCCAGAACACTTAAAAGCTTCTGCCACAAGAATTAGCAATGAATTAATTAGCCAAAACCAACAAATAATCAGAAAGTGACAACGTACTGCAGTGAGCTTGCCTTTTTTTGGTCTGCCCTCTAGACCCCATCTGTAGATTCAGGAAGAGAGCACTGCATACCTCCAGCATCCCGCTGCACAGAACAGTAAGCTGTGAGAAATCAAAGACTGTGTGTGGATCGGTCAGTCAACATTGCTGAGCACCCAGGTCATCCCTGCAAAACCCAAAAGACTCCCAGAAAGCCAACTCAGCAATAAATACAATTGCTGCTTTCCATTGTTTTCCCCCACTCAGGAGACCAAAGATTAGAGTACTACTTCCAGGCACTGAGGGGACGCAATTCCAACTTCTGTGTGGTAGGTAAACGTTCTTCTTCCTTGGCAAATGCATCCTATTGACCTCTCCAGTCGCATGAAGTCAGCTTTGTTACGTACGGCTGCAATATTTAGGCAAAATTGTTTTAAAGCATTTCAGTCACTTCTATTTAATGTTCTGTTCATTACTTTTATTTGCCTGAACCTCCTAGATCTGTCTTCCATTCTTTCTGTTCTCTTCCAGCTAACTTTTCACCTCTTTGTTCTCTAAACCCCAGATCTCGTCCTCAGGGGGCAGAACCCAGGTTATCAAACCTGGTAAGAAATCACCTTAATCTTTACAGCAAGGGCAGAAAAAAAAAAAATATTTTTGCACCCTACTGATTTAATACTGGTTTTGCCTTTTAACTGGACTAAAATTGAACTACAGCCCATTAAAAAGATTAAATCCCAATAAAAGCAAAGAGAAGCTTGAAATACTACTTCGGTCAGTTTAGGGCTGCTTCATGCCATAGCTCTCAAGGGTTAATACAAGCAGCAACCACAGGCAAGTTATGGTAAGGCACTCTCCTTGCGTAACATCTATGAACAGTTCTCCCAAACACACTTCAGAATTACTTTTATTCTTTTGGGGGTTTTCAGAAGATGCCCGTTGTTACTAACAGCATGAAAATAACATCCTAACAGTGACAATAGCATACTATTTTCACAATCCTTTTATTTTCACACTTTAAAGAATAATGAACTTTTTTTCCACATAAGTAGAATTCAAACCCCATTTTTGACTGGGGGGACTGAAGTGTGGACTCAGTGTCAGTAAAAGGTACTATTTTGAGCAGCAGCTAATGATTTACATATCTAAAAAGAACCTTCATCATCACAACGGGGGGGG